GTTAAAGTAGGAAAGGCTTATTTAGCTTACAGTTTTGGAGGTTTCAGTCCATAATCAGCTGGTTCCAAGGCAGGGTGGTGTGGCACAGGGCAACAGATCATAGAGGTGCAAGATAGCAAAAGGGACGAGAGAGAGAGAGAGAGAGAGAGAGAGAGAGAGAGAGAGAGAGACAGACAGACAGGCAGACAGACAGTCTTCTCGTTCCTTCTGTTGTTTCCAGTCTACTTAAGGCGATGCTGTTTCAGTCAGCAGGCTGGGCCAGCGGTCCCCCACCTTGCATCCCAGCACCCTTGGTCCCAGCAGTGCACTATAAATCAGTCACACTGTAGATTTAACCGTCTCCAGAAAAGCCCCATCTAAAGGTGCCAAAGCTTTGGGGGTACAGCTAGATGCAAACCGTAGTAGCTTGCCTTTGTGGAAGGCAGATTTGTTCAGGGTGGCCTAGATCACAACAAGCTCATCACAGTCACAGTGCCCATGGCCTGTTTCAGACCCGTCTGCCTGTGTTCTCTCTCCTTGCCCTGAGGCTGGCCGATGGGATCCTGAATCCCTATAGGGGTGCTGTTCTGGTTGGTGGCACTTTGTCTTCAAGGGTGCCTCGGTCCAGAGGCTGCAGTGGGTGAGACAGCACAAAGGTGAAGGAATGGTGCAGGGCTGCATCACCTTTGTAGAACTGTGATTGTCTGCCGTCGGCGGGGCAGGAACCTTTCCCCCTTCCAGAGGCTTACATCACGACAGTCCTTTCTCCTGAGCTGGCGTGGTTGGCCTTCTGTGGAGTTTGTGAGACAGGCTAGGAAGAAAGATATTTCTGCTCACATTCCCTGTTTTTCAGAAGTCTGAGAAATGCAGCTTCACACCTAAAAACGCGGCTTTTATTACTGGAGTTCCCATAACAGCTCTGTAAAGCAGTCAGGCAAGTAGCATCACGCAGTTAAAAGCCAAGGCCTGGGGAGCCTCATTGCTGAACCTGAGAACTGTACCTCGGGAGATGCCGTGCACTTAGTGTGGCTGCAGTGAACTTCGAACGCAGCTCTAAGGAAATGAATTAGGATATGATAAGGTTTGGGTGCCACTGGAAACTGAACCGAGGCCTCTGCACTGAGCTATACCTCAGTCTTTTAAATTTTTTCTTAATTTTTGAGAAAAGTTCTCATTAAATTGCTAAATTGTCCTGGCTGGGCTCCAACTTGCAACCCTCCTGCCTCAGCCTCCCAAAGATCTGGAATTACAGGAGTGCACCACTACATCCAGACAAGGTACATTTAAAAAAGTACACAGGACTGGGAAGTAGCTCAGTGATAAATCACCTATCTTAAACACACAGCCCTCAGTTTGCTCCCTCCCCCCCAGGACCACACACACACACACACACACACACACCAGAACAAAATATATCAAAACACAACTGTGTTTTCAAAGCGCCCTGTAACAGCACCCAGATCAGACCGAACACTCAGCACTACTGAGCTGTTTTAAGCAAAAGCACTTTCCCAGAGTGCAGGTGAGCCTCTCCTCAAGAGGCACAGAGAGGGAACTGGAGGGTCCCAGCTCAACACAGGAGGGGCTCCCTGTGGCCTCACACTTCACTCTTCTTCCTCAGGAGAATCACAGCCCCATCACAGTACTCATAGCGTTGGGAACATCGGTCCACCTCGTGACACCCAGCAGTGTCTCATCCAGACTAACAGATACCTGGTACCAACACTTTGCCATCTCTTTACAGAAACAAGGATGGTGTCCTCTGCACTACAGGTTACAGAGGTGACACCACCCGCTGCAGGCATTAGGACTCGATACGAAACTGCACTTTGCAGCATGACTTTCACGCTGTGTACCTTCTGTTTGGCTGCCTCCTCAGAGTTCTTGAGTACTTCAGGAAATCTTTAACTCATCCTCTCTTTTTAACTTCTCTGAGTACTGTGTTCCTGCTCCTGCTCCTGGTAAAGAAGACAAAGATGAGGTGGACTTGGGGGTCTGATGGCACCTCTTGGCCTCAGTGTTGTGATGGTTGAGGGTCTGCAGCGGCCAGTTTGAGGTGCTGCTACCTTGTACACCTGCAAAAGACTGAGGCATTGGTTGAAGGCAGGAATACTGACTATACCACTGGGTTTCTAAAGAGAGACAGAGACAGAGAGGGAGAGACAAGACAGACAGACTGAAGGAGAGGCCCCACGTGAGAGGGTCGGGGGCGGCCCGCAGCCCGCCTCCTGTGCCTGGTGGCTTGGGAAGGGTCGCTCCTAGCAGAAGGGCCAGTGAAGGTGGGGAATGCGCTGGGGCCATGCTGGGAAGCCTTTTTTGAGTGAAGTCTTAAAGCCAGCCTCTCTTCTGCCTGATAAATAATTGGAAGGAGAAGCAATGAATTTTTTCCTGACAGTTGTTGCTTACGAGGGCCAGGGCTTCATTTGCAAATGAAAGGGCTGCGGTTGGAGTAGTTGAAATCACAATGGACTCTGACTCCTTTCACAGAGTAGTGTGAAAGAATCTCCGGGTGATAAATGGGGGCTGCTGGACTGATTACTTGTAAACAAAGCTCCGGGATGACCTCTAAATTTTTTTTAATTAAAAGAAAACAGGGTTTCCTAGTGGCAGGCGTGGGTCTGCTCCTCATTTGAATTTTGACTATGCGCGGTGGAGCAGATCTTTGTTCCCTGGCAGGGAAGCGGTGCTGCCCCCTGGCTACCCTGATTCTCCAGCCTGGAAGAAAGGCTGTGCCCCGGTGCAGGAGCCGGCTGGCCTCAGCTGCAGCAAGGAGGCCTCATGTGTGCCAGGCAGGGGCTGTCTGTATCACCGACCACGCCCCAGCCCCAGGGAATCTGGGGTTGATTGGCACAGTGCCCGCTCTCATGCCAGTGTGGCAGCCCCAGGTGTGGGAAAGTGAACCCAGGCTGTCCCAGGCAGATTGCATGCCCGGCTTCCTCTGTCACTGGGCCCCAGGTCCTTGACCCTCTTCCACGTGGCCCACTTTGAAGCTCCTGGCAGAAGTCCTGTCCCAGCTCTTGCTTGTCCGTCTGCTGTGTGGTCCAGGGCTTCCGCCAGCACTGCTCTTCTCCAGCACTAAGGAAGGTTGTTCTCAGAGGATGCTTGAGCAGCCACAGTGGACAGAACAAGCTGGTCAGGAAGGGGTGGGTGATGAGCCACAGACAGGACAGGGATGCAAAGATTATTCATAAAATGAAGGGAGGAGAGCTGCCCAGGTCACCTCTGCCAGGGCGTTGTGCCCATGGTGCAGTGACAGGTGCCTGCCCCAGGCATGCCGTGGTCTCCGTGCCCTGCATAGCCAACTGGGGTGGCCCTGCTGATACCCCAGCCTCCTGACGGGTGGGAGCTATACGGTCTCCGCTTAGCTTTCAGCATCTGGCAGAACCTTATTGAAATAGTAAATCATTGTTCATTTAAGCATGGAGCTGCTGGTTTCAGATGGAACAGGCTATTTCGTGACTGAGAGTGGACAACATAGTTTTTTGTCTAAAACACATGTCTTATGCTGGGTGTGCGCAGTTTGCAGTAGTCGATCACCAGAAGCCACATCACAGAGGTGCAGTGGGAGAGATATAGAGGTGGCTCAGGTCTGCTGACCCTCCCCCTGCCCCCTGCCTCCTGCCCCCTGCCCTCTGCCCTCTGCCTGTAGGGTTCCTGGCACTCTGCTGGTTCTCCCCTGGGAGTAGCCTGAGTTCGGAAGCGTTGGCTTGGAGTCCTGCTCCCTGCGCTTAGCTGGTGCCCACGTGGGGTCCAGCTCCAAGCCTTCCTCTGAAGCAGAGCAGTGAGGACTTGCCATTTTGTCAGCCAGTAGCTGCACGTGGAGTGGATGTGTGAAGCATAACTTCTCTCCTTTGTTGGCCTGTCTTTTAATTTCATTGTTTAGGGCCTCGGAGGGTTTGGATTTTATGCTGTTCCTAAAATATCTAAGCTCTGCTGAGAAATGGGGGATACTCTGGGCTGTAGCACCCTGAGGTGAAGGGTGTGACCATGCCTTCCTGCAGCTGTGGGTTTAGCTGACCGTTCACTGATTCTTATTTGCTAATCCAGAACTGTGTTGGGGATTTTTCTGGGTCTTGGTCACATAGGCAAATGCTCTTCTGTTGAGCTATGCCACAGCCACCAAATTTGGGTAAATTCTCTTTCTGAGACAATGACTTTTTTTTTGGTACCAGGGATCAAACTCAAGACCTTGCAAGAGGCAGGTGCTTATGCTGCTAAGCTAAATCCCCAGCTTGAGACAATGTCTTGCCATGTAGTTCAGATCAGCCTTGAAGTATGCAGCCCAGACAGGCTTTGAATTCATGGCTATCCTCCTGCCTCAGTCTTTTTTTTTTTTTTTTTTTTTTTTTTAGAAAAACCTAATTTATTTGTTAAGCTGTTACAAAGACAAAACAATTATCATCAGGAATACTTTAAGAACCTCATCCCAGTTCACTTGTTCTGTTACAGAAAACTAACCTAAGATGGTAGAAATTAAAGGCTATAACCTAAGAGGCTATAACAAAACAGACTGGAAAAACAAGATGGAAGGGGCAGAAGCTACCCAGAAGCACTTGTATCAGTGGTAGGATTTGCAACTGGGATGTTTCTCAAGAGACCACTTTGAGAGGTCTGAATTAATCTCAGCCCCAAAATAGTGAGACTCTTGCCTCTGTGGAGAAAAACAGGAGACTGATCCTTCTGAGATCTCTGCCCTTTCTTTTAGGGATAAGGATTTCTTTAAGCCCCAAAGACCTGCAACCCCTCCCCCCCATCTTAAGTTTAGTCTATTTCCTGCCCAATTCCTGTACATTTTTACCACACTGGCCTGCTAGTGTATGAACAATGCATACAGTAAAGGCAGAAATTACAGGCATAGTCAGTGGGTAGCTAGACACAAAATTTGAGGGTAAATCATAAATTATAAATACCCCCTTGGTTAAGCTAATTCACCTTTGTTAATAAAGGTCCTAGTTTCTTCTGCTGGTGACAACTTGCTGTCTCAGTATAGTTTATCTTGAGGAAGAACTGGTTTAAGTGAGTTTTGGAGAAGGAAAAAGACTTTCATCAACCTCTTCAGAGGAAAGAGGCACCAAGTTCTCTCCTACAATTAAGAGCAGAATCTTAAAGCAACATAAATCATTTTCAGTGATCAACATCTGCGTCCTCAAACTGTCCTGCAACTGTTGGTGCAGTATCTACTTCCATGCCATCTTCATAATCTCTTACTGAATCTTCTGTCCGTACCCCAGCCATGTTATACTGGCTGCTCACAGACTGGGAAAGCATTCCTTCTAATCTCTCCAGTGTGGCCTGCCCTTCTGCTGTTAAATGGGATAATCCTTCTTCATAGGTGTAAAATGTGGGGATATCCCCCTGTCCTTGTTCATGAGCTTCCACATCGTACTCTTCTCCATCATAATCATCTGAGTCTTCATCCTCAGGATCTGGATGCAAGGCTTGGCATTCACACATTGCAGTGAACATTGCCTCCAACGCTGATTTATCAGTAGGCACAAATCTAAATTCAGTAATAGGTTCAACATCATCATCACTGTCTTCTTCTTCTTCATCAAGAGAGTCTTTTATTTCTTCTCCAAATTTAGAATTCACCATAACATACAAATGTTCTCGTGGATAGGCATTTAGGTCCCTGGACACAGCATGTAAACTAATGGTGGGGTATTCCAGTGAGAATCCTAATCCGGAACCATCTAACCAAGACAGGCGGCTTTCAGAGATGTAAAGGGTGGCAGTGCCGAGGCCGTTTCCGTTCAGCACAGCCTCGGTATCTGGCTGCTGGTGCCGGAGCCCCTCAGTCGACCCAGGTGGCGGAAAACTTTTGAGGAAGCTCATTGCAGCTGGCAACATCGGAACACAGGATCGGAAAAAGCCGGGCCACCGCAATCCCCTGCCTCAGTCTTTCATGTGCTGGGATTACCAGTGTGTGCCACCACACCCTGTGAATTATTATTTCAATAAAATCATCACTACGTGTTTCTTATTAAAGTTACAATAGGGTATAGTCACGCATGGTGGTGCACACCTGTACCACCAGCACGCGGGAGGCTGAGACAGTTTCACTGTGAGTTCACGGCCGGCCTGGAATGCATAGCAAGACCCTGGCTCAAAATCCTGAAGCATAATAATGGAGACACACATGAATAAAGGCAGAGAGAGTGAACTTTCACTTGATAAAGTGTTTTAGCCTTTTGTTTTAAGCAAGTGTTTCCCTCAGGTTGGTTTGATTTTTTACACGGAAGCTCCTTTTTGGTGGCTGCTGGTATTTTGTACTCAAGAGGATCTACTTAGACTGAACCAGGAGGACTGCAGGTTCAAGCCGAGCCCAGGCGACTTGGTGAGACACAGCCTCAAGACAGAAAATAGGATGGGCTGGGATGTCACTCTGTCACTCTGTGACGGAGTCCTTGGGTTCCATTCCCAGTGCCACAACAAGCAGAAAGAAGAAAAGAAAGAATGAGAGATCTCTCCACTCCATTCACTGGAGAATGCTATGGTGCCTTCTGCAGATGCCACGGGTCTCTGGGGCTTGGGCAGGGTTGAGGCAGAGTCGCTGTGATTCAGGAGCTGGGTGGCATGGGTTAGGTGTGGGCGCTCTCACCAGACCTTGCAGTAGTCAGGGTGCAGTGTTGGCATCGCGTGTCCTTCACCCGCCCTTTGCAGCTGCTCAAAGCTCTACCTAGGCCAGTGTTGCCCAGGAGTCCCCTGGAGCCCTCATAGGGTGGTTCAGATGCATGTTTCCAGCCAGCTCTGGATAGACTGGTAGCTTGCTGGTGGCCTGGGGTTAACAAGAAGACTGTTCTCCCAGCCCCCATCTCCCGACCAGTGCGACTCCATCCCTCCAGCTTTCTCACCCTGGATGGTCCTTGCTTTTGGTGTACTTCCTGCCTGTCTGCTCCAACCTGGCCTCTGTCCTGAGAAAGGTGCAGACAGCAGCAAGGGAGAGCACTGCAGGACAGGACCCAGGGTGCCACCCTCCTGGCTCTGGGTGCCTTGCTGTGTCAGGGCAAGTGTGCATGCTGTGTTTTCACACGCATGTGTTTACATTGGCATGCTCTGTGCTGCAGAGCTATCTGTCACCTGGCAACCTTCAGCACCCAGTGCCTCCTCACTGGGGACACAATGGGGACCATGGCACATTCTGTGGCACTTGCCAGCCAATGGGGATTTGTAAACACAGCACAGTGTTGGGGTGTTTTTGTGGTACTGTGGATTGAATTTAGAGCTCAGTCAAACCTTGTTACTTCCCCAGTCCCTTTTTGGTTTTTGTTTTGAGACTGAGTTGCCAAAGCTGGGCTGGAACTTGCAATCCTCCTACTTCAACCTCCCAGAGTGCTGGATTACAGGTGTGCACCACCACGCCTGGCCAGAACTTCCTGCGATCCTGCTAGATCACACTTGCCATCCCTCAGATCTTAACCCCAACTTCTTCCCTCTCCACTATGGGTTTTCTCTGTGACTGCTGAGTTGCTTCCTCACCCCCACTGCACAGGCCGCACCTCAGGGTCTGTAACCCAGGCTGCTGCCTCCTGCCCTCTGCCTGCAGCACAATCGTATTTCACCCCTCCCCTTCTCCTTTGGCGGGGTGGGGGTGGGGCACCTGGGTGATGTTGAGCCGAGCATTCGCCTTGGTCCTGTTTCCGGAGCTTCCAGCGTCCTCAGCCAGCCAGAGTTCAGTTTGACTCCCTACGAACGATGCTCAAGCCCTTCATTCATGGAGGGGACTGAATGCTCTGTGCAACCTCCAGAAATAGAGGGTGCGGGTTTGTTGGGAGTTGGGAGTTTAAAGGAAAAAGGCCACATTCTCTACTTTTTCTTAATCTGTGTCTGCAGTGCTTCGAGATCACACTCCTTGCGGGAGCTGGTACATGACATGACACGTCTGCGTTCTCTCTCCATCTTCCCCTCCAGCTGTCTGATTTGGTTCGCCCGGTACGGTTTCAGTGTGCTTCCAGACTCCCACAGATGACTCATGCCTGCCCTTCTTACACGGAGCAGTGCTTCACTGTGTGCAAACACCTTGTTTTCCTTGTCCCTCCATCTGCAGATGACACGCAGGCCGCTTCCGAGGTACAGTGTTGTGAGCCGTGCTCTGTGATGTGGATGTGCACGGGCTACTGTAACATGGCATCTTAACGCGTGCAGGGTGACCCCGGGAGGGGAATTCCTGAGTCTGATGGAAGGCCTCCTCTTAGTTTTGAGGAATCTCCTCCATAAGGATTGCCATGGTGGTTGTGCCAGTTTACATGAAAAGTAATTTACTTCTTAGCATTTGGCTGTGACATAGAGGAGTCTCTCACAAAGGTGGGGAAGACCCAGCCAGACGTGTGTGGTGGCACACACCTGTCTTGCTGGATACTCAGGAGGCTGAGGTGGAAGGAGCCAAGCTCAAGGCCAACTTGGGCGAGATGCTGTCCAAAAAATTAAATGGAAGGGGCAGGTGAAGTAGTAGTCTGGTACTCTTTCTTGTTTTCCTCAGTGCTGGGGCTGCAGCCTGCTGTGTTGTCCCCGCCAAGTGCTCTCCGAGCTGCAGTGCAGCCTGTGGTCTGAGTTTGGTGTGCTAGGCGGGCCTGCCGGGCCAGCAGTAGGTGTTAAGGCCCAGTAGACACAGGCATGGGGCGGTGGAGGCTTCCCGAGGGTAGCAGGCAGCAGGAGTGGCCAGGAAGTGTGATTTAGCGGCAACCAAGTAGCAAGAATATGCAAGGAGCAGCTGCCTGCGTGGGAGGCAGCTGAGGGGCTAAGGTAGCTCTGGAGCACCTGCCAGACATGCACGTGGCCCCAGGTCCGGTCCCCAGTCCTGTGCATGAGTGTGTACATGCACACACATGCATGCACACACCCCCAGGTTATTGCCTGTGTCTCTAATGGCTGGCTTTCTGCCTGCAAATGAAGAGATGCAGTACATTTAATAAATTAAACCATTGAAGATCCATGAGCATTGGCCTCTGCCATCAGGAACTGCTTTCCCTTTGTGATCTACCCGCCTGCCGCCCGCCTGCCGGTCCTCTCTTGGGTTTAGGAAGCGTCTTTTTACATGGTCCCGCCCTTGCAGCCACCCAGCTGTCAGCACTCAGCACTCGCCCAGCAGAAGGGTGCCACTTGACCAGGGCCCGCTTCCTGTGGAGGCTGGTGGCTGTGGGCCAGGGGCTGGCATTCTGCTGACCTCTCCTCTGGGCTTGTACCAAGGGAGCATGGGAAGCAGTGGCCCTTGTGAAAATACGCTGACCAGTGGATGGTAGGTGAGCAGAGGGGAGAGATTTATGAGCAACATCCTGTTCTCGAATCACTGCTGGGCCGGAAAAGGGGGAGCAGCTACAGGGTGAGGCAGGAAGGCAGCTTGGGAGCCAGGTCTGTGGCAGGGCTGGAGCCCAAAGCTTTCCTGGCCCTTGGTTTCATCGATGCTTGTGTAATTGTGATGAGAAGAGAGGGAGTGGATGCCTAGGGTAGAGTGCAAGGTGGTGCCCTTGTCCCAGTCTCACAGGCCCCCCAGCTGTGGGGCCTGTGCTCCCCTGGCATTCTGTGCCCAGGTCTATGCCAGAGCAGAGGGTGAGGGTAGATAGCTCATACGAGGACTGGGGACCAGCAGAGACTACTGGGCACCGCTGGACATGGCAGCCTCAGGTCTGTGGTGGTGGAGTGGCCCACCCTGCCCTGCCCTGCAGGGTTGGGGCCAAGGTGGGTGTAGAGGGGAGGATGCTTCCCTGAGCTTGGCTCAGGCAGAGCCATCAGGGTTTGGAGGAGAAACCTGGCGGTCACAGAGGGGTCTCGTGTTGCCGTACAGGGTGAAGACCATCACCTGGGGACACCGAGTCCACATGTTGTGGTGATAGGATGTTGCTCAAGTCAGATGCCACCTCTTCTTGGAGCGCGCCTTGGTGCCATGCAGGAATAGGGTGTTAGGGTTTCGACTTCCTCCGTCCATCTCCCGCTGAAGGTGGTGCTTCTGATCCGGGGTCATCGGGCTGGAGTTCGGGCTGGCCACCCCCCTCCCCCGTGATCACAGCAGAGATCACTCAGGTGCTGCCTGCTTATCATCAGTGTACCACACTCAAGGCACGCTCATTGGCTGAGCTCGGTGATGGCCTGGTCACCGCAGCAGGTGCCACCCCAGGTCTGCAGCTGCAGGGACTGAATCCAGGGACTTCATACTGAGCTATATTCCCAGCATTTTAAGAAAACTGAAAAAAATTTTGTGGGGTAGAGGTTCTCACAAAATTGTTTAGTAGCCTACACTGAGCTTGCGTTTATGAGTCTCCTGTCTCTGCCTTCCAGAATTCCAAAATTACAGGGTGTGCCACACGCCTGACTTCTGGTAGGTTGTTTGAAGAAGAAGAAAATGAGCAGTGTGCGGGCACAGTGGCTGTTGCCTGTAACCCCAGCTCAGGGGAGGCTTAGACAGGACTATCTGACCTGGCCATTGTGCAAGACCCAGTCTCAAATATGAAGGACTGGGGATGTGGCCCAGTGCTGCCTGAGTGCAATTCCCTGTATGGGAAGGATGGTTAGCAATACTGTGTTTCTGAGGTGTCTGCAGCCAGCAGGGGTTTGCCCAGGGTTGCTGAGTGATGCAGAGGAGCTCATTGGAAGTGGAGAGCCATGGTGGTGTCGGGAAAAGGCTTTGAGGCATTTGTGTTAGCAGTGCCCTGGTCGCGAAGTGTGCAGGGTCAGAAACATGGCCCTTCTGTGCCAGGAGGGAGTGGAGAGCACTGTGGCACTTCCTTCCATCCTAGGACCTGGGACAGTGGAGCCAGCTGAGGCACAGGCGTCTTCTGACGGAGGAGGCCAGACTGCAGGGCAGGGGGAGGGGAGCGTAGGGAAGAGAGCAGCAGGGCCTGGGGAACTGTGGCCCACAGGTTCCTGAGACCTCGTCTAGGGGAGATGCGAA